TTGAAAAATGCTCTCAAGCTATGAATTAAACAACAAACAAAAAGCCAGAGATATTGCCATGTTGATATATTTCTAGCCTATGACTTTTACAGGTTCCTGATAAATCTGATTTCCAAATGCCCGAAAGTTGTAGAAAATACTATTTGTGTGTGTGTGTGTGTGTGTGTGTGTGTGTGTGTGCAAAATATCTTTAACTCAAAAGGATTCAGAAAAAGTGGCAGAAGTAAGAACTAATAGTTTAGCAATTTTATTATACAAATTGAAAAACCATTCATGGTAGTATCCAAGCTTCTGTAGGCATTAGTGGTCTCTGCAAATGAAAAATAGGGTATTTGAATTTTTTTAATTTGAATACACCAGAATATCTGTGCTCATAACATTGATGAGTAAAATACAATTTGGTATCAAATTGGTTTAAAAGTATTTTAAAACATATCTAAGAAATAGGTCAGCAGAATTTTACTTTAAAATGTTTTTAAATTTCATTTTAAAAAATTGTATTGAATTTATTGGGGTGACATTGATTTATAAGATTATGAGATTTCTAGTATATAGTTCTAGAATACATCTTAAAGCACACATATTATGTGTTTACCACCTGAAGCTATGTCTCCTTGCATCCCCATTTACCCCCCCACCCCCTTTACACTCGTCTGCCTCCCCCCAGTACACACTCTCTCTCTCTTGTCTGTCTATGAGTTTTGTTTTCTTTGGTGAATTTTAATCCCTTCACCTTCTTAACCCAGCCCCTCAATCAGTTTCCCCTCTGATAGCTGGCATTTTGTTCTCTGTATCTATGAGTGTGTTTCTATTTTGTTTGTTAGTTTATTTTGTTCATTAAGTTCCATATATAAGTGAAATCATATGGCACTTGTTTTGTCTGGCTTATTTCACTTAGCATAATACTCTCCAGGTCCATCCATGCTGTCACAAAAGGTAAGATTTCCTTCTTTTTTATGGCTGAGATGTATTCCATTTTTTAAATGTACCACCATGTGTTTTTTTAAAAAATTTTTTATTATTGTTTGTTTATTTTTTTTGTCAACTTATCTATTGATGTGTACTTGGGCTGTTCCCAAATCTTAGCTATTGTAAATAATGCTGTGATGAACATAGGGGTATATATATTCCTTTGAATCAGTGTTTTAGGTTTCTTTGGATATATTCTCAAAAATGGAATCGGGCGTCCCTGGTGGTCTAGTGGTTAGGATTCAGCGCTCTCTTAAAAATGGAATTGCCAGGTCATAGGCAGTTCCATTTTTAATTTTTTGAGGTAACTCCATATTGTTTTCCACAGTGGCTGCACCAATCTGCATTTCTATCAACAATGCATGCAATCCCTTTCTCCACATCCTCACCAACACTTGTTTGTTGATTTATTGATGATAGTCATACTGACAGGTGTGAAGTGATATTCCATTGTAGTTTTAATTTGCATTTCTCTGATGATTACTAAGATTGAGCATCTTTTCATATGTCTATTGTCATCTGTATTTCTCTTTGGAGAAGTGTCTATTCAGGTACTTTGCCCATTTTTAAAATTCAAGTGTGTGTGTGTGTGTGTGTGTGTGTGTGTGTGTGTTGAGTTTTATAAGTTTTTTTAAAATAAAATTTGAATATTCCCATTCTTTATCAGATATCACTGATGAATATTTTCTCCCATTAAGTGGTTTGTCTTTTAATTTTGTTGGTTTCCTTTGTTGTGCAAAAACTTTAGTTTGATGTAGTCTCATTTTTTTTTCATTTTTTTCCCTTGATCAAGGAGATATGTCATAAAAATATTGCTACTTGAAATGTCTGAGATTTTACTGCTTATATTTTCTTCCGGGCTGGGGAGGAATGTAGGAGGGTGGCCAGCCAGGGAGGGACTGCAGGAGGGCTCCAGGGTGTGTCTGGACGGTCTTGCTCAGTCCTGATCAGCCAGACCCCAGCAGCAAGCTAGCCTACTGGTTGATCGTTTGCCCCCTGGCAGTAATTTATTCGTAGGATATTTTTTCTTACATGATATTCTCCCACTGTCACCCTCCTTTTTAATTTAAATAATATGAGGCTTTTGGAAATTTTATAATGTAGTCTTGATAGCTTTTACATTTTAATTATTTGAGCTAAACTATGACTGCTTTAGGTTCATTACATGTTATGCAATGTTACCATGAGACGCTCTGCCAATAAGAATTTTTGTTAACACTTTAGGAACAGCTTTTTGTACAGTACAATCAGTTTTTCTAGAATATTCATTTATTTCCATTAGCCATGTATTTATTTACCATGTGTGTATTAGTGTAAATGATTATTTGCCTTCTTGAGAAGGGCCTGAGCATTCCTGCTACTAGGCTGGATTTGGATATTAAAAACCCACTTGCCCACACCATGGGTACAAGTATTTTTGCAGTGAGAGGGCAGCTGCTGTCAGCCAAGTCTCTGTCTGTTACCCGGGTCCCGATTTGAGCTGTGCATGGGAAGCGAAGCAGCCATGGGGGCAGGAGACCTCCCTCAGAGGGGGAGAAGGTTCAGGCACCTGCGAAGTTGCATTGGGGGGGGGGGGTGAGGATCTGTGCCCCACCTCTGTTGACCCCCAAGTTCTCTCCTGATGGCCCCTCTGCGACTGTGCCTGTCTTAGGTTGTTCCTTCCCTGAGGAATTTTACCGGTATCTGGCTAACCAGCCATCCTCTGGGGCCAAGCAGGGTGATGTGAGGTTCTGTCTCCTTGGTAGCTTATGCCCCTATGGGCTCCATGCCCAGCACCTGCCTCAGGAACTCCTCACCTGCTGGCGAGGCCCGGGCACAGATCTCATATTTTGGGGAACCCATGCTTCTTCTCCAGAGAGGGCCCAGCTCCCCGCACTGGGCGGGAGAAAGATCCCTGGTACCAGATACCATGGTGCTTCAGCCTCAGCATGAACTGAAAGGTCAGGCAACAGCTGTGGGCACCTGGACCATGAGAAGAGGGTCATTTTTGGCCAAAAGGGCAAGAGGGGCTAATATAGAATGCTCAGGAAAAGACAGTGAACAGGATACTTTCTGGAAAAAGACACAGTGGACATTGGAGATGTTTCTGGAAAAATGACACAGTGAAGCTTTTCAGGGCTGTGAAAGCACCTGTTCATATCCCATCTTTCAAGAGATATTTCAGTATTTGTCAACAATGTTCATTTAAATGCAAAATATGTTGAAAGCAATTATTTCTTTTAATGCATTCGTCCTGATACAAAAAGTTAAGTTTGGCACAGTTGAGGATTGGCATGAAGGCTAGTGTGGTGAGAGCTTACTTGGTAAGTGGGGTGGGGGTGGGGGGATATTTATATTTATTTAAGAAAAATATTTTGTCAACGTGTCTTATTTCTGTGCTTACTATATAAAACTTCAAAAACTGATAGAAAAATCAATCTTAACATTCCAAGGAGCTCTCAGTTATTCAGTAAGCACTCAGTGAGCACCACTGTATACCAGGCTCGGATTGTGGGGGGCACTGCAGGAGATGCAAAGGAAAGGCCGCCTGGAGAGCAAGAAACAGCGGCATGGAACTGCAACAGATCTGAATTACCCGCCCGAGTCCGTACAAGCGAGCGGGCAAGACGGCAAAGCTTTCCCTAGGAAATGTACAGAGTTTGCAAAACAGACAGACAAGAGGGTTACGCGTTTCTGCCTCAGAGAAATAAACAATTCATGCTGCCAGGAGGAAGACAAGTGGAAATTAATGCCAGAAACGAGGTCAATTTTCTCTCAAATTAAAAAATAAATAAGAAGGAATTTAATGTTCATGAAAAACATTTGTCATGCGCTGTGGAGACTGAGCCAATTATTCGTTTATTCATAATTTTGTGTGCCTGGTACCGGACACATGGTGATAAGGTGCACAACGGAGGATAAAGCAAGAGACGCCAGGGTTCTGCCTGCAGTCAGATGGCCAGCTGGGGAGCCTCTTCCCTCCCGGTGCGCATGTGTATAAATAGCTCCGCCTCCTTCCTGACACCATCCGAATGAAGGCAGAGGACAGAAGTTAAAGGACTCCCTCCAGGGATGCCAAGGCAGGATGGCCAATAAGCAGTCTGAAAGAAAGCATTTTAAGATGCTCTTTGGCCTTTAGAAAGCTGCCACTTTGGACAAAGGCTTTGGCTTCATTGGGACCACAATTGATTGAAATGGCTCTCATCTCTTAATTCATTGGTTGATTAGAGCATAATGCCAATAAAATGAAGGACATGGGCTTGAGCTTTCTGAAGATCAATTTTGTGGGTGCATGTTTTATCCTTGGGTATAATGCCTTTCCCCGAAAGCCCAATTAAAAAAAAAATCAAGTAAAAATGTTTTGGGTTCACTTTTTAACCTAATTTTCTCTCTATTTGGCTTTTCTCCTGGAATGCAAAGAACACACACACACACACACACACACACACACACGGCTTTGTTTTAAAAATAAAGTAGCTGGAATGCAGGATCATCCACAGGTTTAAGACTATCTTTCTGTTAAACTAGAAAGAGAATGAAACAGCAGAGGTGTTGTTGCAATTGCGTACATGAAGCTATACCAATGAAAGAAATGGATGGTGAGCTGCTGTGGCACATTCTAAAACTGACCCAAAATCAGGGCAAAACACTCAACTCCCTGAAAACCTGGATACTGCTGTTCATACTCTTTCAAGTTATAGTATCCGGCCTCCCTGACCATTGTTTCTCTTAGAAACTAGAGAAAGTGATTAGCAGAAAAACTGTCCTGGACCTTGCTCTGACCCAGCGGCAGCATTATCAGCTCCTTTCCCCGTATTCCCACAGAGCCCTGTTTTTATTTTATGTCAGAATTACTTTTTACACCTCACACTTATTGTACACCCCTCCTAACTCTCTTTGCAACCTTGAAGCTTCACCTCCTTCCTTACAGGTCCCCCAGTGGGAGGCAGCAGGGGCAGAGACTGCGCTGCCCAGGAGAGAACAGGGCCTGACCCAGCTCTGCGAGGAGGAAGCTGCCTGAGTGGGGGCCAGGTCCTCGCCTGGGGAGGTGAGACCACACAGAGGTCTCAGAGGCCAGAAGGCAAGGCCGGCAGCCGCGAGAGGACAGAGGAGGGCAGGACTAGTCAGAAAGGGGCTGCCCTTGCTGTCTTTTAGGACTTGGCTGTGGTATTCAGTGTATGGGCTGTAGTTCAACTGTCTAAGTGGCCAAGTTGGTGGAGAGCTGGGCTCTGTCTGGAGACAAAGTCCCATTTGACCCAGTGATCCCACTTCTAGGAATATATCCTAAGAAAGCCAAAACACCAATCAGAAAAAAAATATATGAACCCCTATTTTCAAAGCTACACAATTTACAATAGCTAAGATCTGGAAACTGTCCAGGTGCCAATCAGCAGATGAGTGGATAAAAAACCTGAGGTACATTTACACCACAGAATACCACCCTGCTGTAAAAAGAAGGAACTATTACCCTTTGCAACAGCACGGATGGACCTGGAGAGTATTACAAGCAAAATAAGCCAGAGGAAGGTAAGTATCACATGATTTCACTCATATGTGGAATCCAATGAACAAAATAAACTGAAGAACAAAATAGATCCAGAGACCTAGAACCATGAAACAGACTGATGAATTTCACAGGAAAGGCGGGGGTTGGGGCTGGGAAGGGAGAGATTAACTGGAGAACTTAAATGCATAGATGCATAGCCCATGGACACAGACAATGGTGTGGTGAACGCTAAGAAGGGTGGATGTGGAGAGGAGGGGATCTATGGGGAAAAAACACATGCAAACAAAAGAAAGTAAAAAAAAAAAAAAACATAAAAAAGCTATATGTTCATTTGGGCACAATTAGATACATATAATTGATGTAGCATATTGGAAAAAAAAAAGATTGCCTGTTTTTTTTGTTTTTGAGCTTGTCTTTTCCCTTAACAGTTTTACATTAAATGTCTTATCTTTGAGTCTGTATTTACCTTGCTGAAAGAGATTATGCTAAGAAAATATTCTATTCTATTGGTATTATTGCTTAAGGAACTATTAATACAATTTTTACAAATAGATATAATTAACTCCTACACTGGCAACTTTCTTCAAAAGTTTCTCTCCTTTCTTTCCTGAGTTTTTTGTAATCTCTGACTAACTTGCAAACATCTCTTTAGAATTGATGAAATGTCCCCCATTTGGGTTCCAATCAACTCAGCAGCAAAGACTATCATGTTTAGGAGCCGAGTATGACAGCAGTAAGATAAAAATGAACAAACAAAAGTGTTCTAGAGGGAGAAGCTCACAGGCCAGTCCCTCTAAAGATTCCCTTGACACAAAGCTGAGACTTTGGGAACTATTGTATTAAAGGAAAATGATTACTAGAATAACATACATGTGATTAAAACACTGAAAGTAGGGATTTTTCTTAGATTGGTATGGAATAGAGTATGCCAGAGGCTCCCCAAAGTGTCCTTAAGTCTCCCTGCTCCCTCTCTGCCTCCATAAAGGGTGGAATTTGCCCCAACATATTACCTCACCCTTTGTACCGCTGTAGACATTCTTTTATCCAGAGAAGTCTTTTGTGTCATCTGGAAATGAGTATTCAAAATGTAAACATACCTTGCAGCCTTACTGCAGGTCCAAATTTATTTCGTCCTTAGCAAGTGCCAGTGGAAGGACCAATCATCTTCTTTAATCATTACAGTGAGGTTCCTACCAGCTGGCTTTTCCCCAGTCTCACTGAGCAACACATACCTAGAAATGTAGACCTCAGCCCTCCTAGGTCCTATCTTATCTGCCCCAAAAGCTGAGTGGGGACAGAACATGATTGTTTTTTAAGACATTTTATGAATCACTTTAAATAGTTGGCCATTTTTTTTTTTTAGCTGAACTACTTTATTTTATTTATTTATTTTTTATTAAATTATTATTATCTTTGTACATATACCATTGCCCCCCCATACATGCCCTCCCTCCCCAGAGTTTTGTGTCCATTGGTTGTACTTAAATGCATGTATATAAGTCCTTCGGTTGATCTCTTATGTCCCCAAAATCTCCCTAACCTCCCCGCTGTAATTTGACAGTCTGCTTGTTGCTTTACTGTCTCTATATCTATCATTTGGTTCTTCAGTTTATAATGTTCTTTATCATCCATAAATAAGTGAGGTCATGTGGTGTTTCTCTTTCATTGACTGGCTTATTTCATTCAGCATGATGATCTCCAATTCCATCCAGATTACTGCAAATGATGAGAATTTCTTCTTTTTATGGCAGCATAATATTCCATTGTGTAGATGTACCATAGTTTTTGTATCCAAGCATCTGCTGATGGGCACCTAGGCTATTTCCAAATCCTAGCTATTGTAAATTGTGCTGCTATGAACATAGGGGTGCATATATCCTTTCTGATTGGTGTTTCTAGTTTCTTGGGATATATTCCTAGGAGTGGGATTACTGGGTCAAATGGGAGTTCCATTTTCAGTTTTTTGAGGAAGCTCCATACTGTTCTCCAGAGTGATTGCACCAGTCTACATTCCCACCAGCAGTGCATGAGGGTTCCTTTTTCTCCCCAACCTCGCCAACACTTGTCGTTTGTTGATTTGTTGATGTTGGCCATTCTGACAGGTGTGAGATGGTACCGCATTGTTGTTTTGATTTGCATCTCTCGGATAATTAGTGGCTTTGAGCATGTTTTCATGTGCCTCTTGGCCTTCCTTCTGTCTTCTTTTGAGAAGATTCTATTTGGATCCATTGCCCATTTTTTAATTGGGTTATTTATCTTCCTTTTATTAAGTTGTATAAACTGTCTGTAGATGTTGGAAATTAGACCTTTATCAGTGGTAACATTTGCAAATATGTTCTCCCATAAAGTGGGCTTTCTTGCTGTAGTTGATGGTTTCTTATGCTGTAAAAAAGCTTTTTATTTTGATGTAGTCCCATTTGTTTATTGTATTTTCTCTTTAGCTTCCATTGCCCTAAAGAAAGTATCAGTGAAGAAGTTCTTTTGGCATATGTCTGCATTTTGCTGCCTGTGGATGCCTCTAATATTTTTATGGTTTCCTGACGTATGTTTAAGTCCTGTTTTCATTTTGAGTTTATTTTTGTGTATGGTGTAAGTTGGTGATCTAGTTTCATTCTTTTGCATGCATCTGTCCAGTTTTCCAACACTATTTATTAAAGAGACTGTCTTGACTCCATTGTACAATATATTCATGCCTCCTTTGTCAAATATTAGCTGAGCATAGTGATGTGGGTTGATATCTGGGTTCTCAATTCTATTCCATTGATCTATATGTCTGTTCTTGTGCCAGTACCAGGCTGTTTTGAGAACAGTGGCTTTGTAATACAGCTTGAAATCTGGTGTTGAGATCCTTCCTACTTTACTCTTCTTTCTCAGGATTGCTGTGGCTATTTGGGGTCTTTTGTTGTTCCAAATGAACTTTTGGAGAGTTTTTTCTAGGTCAGTGAAATATGCCGTTGGTATTTTAATGGGGAATGCATTGAACCTATAGATTGCTTTGGGAAGTATGGACATTTTGATGATGTTGATTCTACCAATCATGAACTTGGTATGTTCTTCCATCTTCCTCTATCTCATTTTTTAATGTCGTATAGTTTTCCACATATAGGTCTTTTACCTCCTTAGTTAAGTTTATTCCAAGGTATCTTAATTTTTTTGGTGCGATGGTAAATGGGATTGCCTTTTTAGTCTCTGTTTCTGCAAGTTCACGATTGGTGTATAGAAATGCCATAGATTTCTTGGCGTTAATTTTGTATCCTGCTACATTGCCAAATTCATTTATTAAGTCAATTAGTTTTTTTATGGAGTCTTTTGGATTTTTAAAAAAATACTTTATTGATTTTTTACAGAGAGGAAGAGAGAGGGATAGGGTTTGAAACATCAATGAGAATCATCAATTAGCTGCCTCTTGCACGCCCTCTACTGGGGATGTGCCTGCAACCAAGGTACATGCCCTTGACCGGAACCAAACCCGGGACTCTTCAGTCCGCAGGCCGACGCTCTATCCACTGAGCCAAACCGGTTTCGGCTCTTTTGGATTTTTTATGTACAATATCATGTCATCTGCAAATAAGGATAGTTTTACTTCTTTTCTGATTTGGATGCCTTTTATTTCCCCATCTTGTCTAATTACAATGGCTAGTACTTCCAGTACTATGTCAAACAGGAATGGTGAGAGTGGGCATCTTCGTCTTGTTCCTGTTCTTAGAGGGAATGGTTTTAGTTTTTGCCCATTGAGTATGATGTTGGCTGTGTGTTTATCATATATAGCTTTTATTATGTTGAGGTATGATTCTTGTACTCCCACCTTGTTGAGAGTTTTTATCAGGAAAGGGTGTTAGATTTTATCAAATGCTTTTTCTGCATCGATTGATATGACTATATGATTTTTATCTTTCAATTTGTTTATGTGATGTATCACGTTTATTGATTTGTGGATATTGTACCATCATTTATTGCATTCCTGGAATAAATCCTACTTGGTCGTGGTGTATGATCTTTGTGATGTTCTGCTGGAGCCGATTTGCTAGAATTTTGTTGAGGATTTTGGCATCTAAGTTCATGAGGGATGTTGGCCTGTCATTCTCTTTCATTGAGTTGTCTTTATCTGGTTTTGGTATTAGGGTGATGCTGGCTTCATAGAAGGAGTTTGGAAGTGTTCCTTCCTCTTGAATTTTTTGGAATAGTCTGAGGAGGATAGGTTTTAGTTCTTCCTTGAATGTTTGATAAAACTCTCCTGTGAAGCCATCTGGCCCTGGGCTTTTGTTTGCTGGAAGTTTTTTGATGACTGTTTCAATTTCTTCCCAAGTCACTGGTCTATTGAGGTTTTTAGATTCTTCCTGATTGAGTTTTGGAAAGTTGTATTTTTCTAGGAATCTGTCCATTTCCTCCATGTTGTCCAGTTTGTTGAAATAGAGTTGTTCGTAGTATTTTGTAAAAAATCCGTTGTATTTCGGTGAGGTCTGTTGTTATTTCACTTCTTTCATTTCTGATTTTGTTTACTTGGGTCCTCTCTCTTTGTTTCTTGGTTAGCCTGGCTAAAGGTTCATCAATCTTGTTTATCCTTTCAAAGAACCAGCTCTTGGTTTTGTTGATCTTATGTATTATTTCTTTGGTCTCTATGTCGTTTATCTCTGCTCTGATTTTTGTTATTTCCTTCCTTCTGCTTACACTGGGCTTTTCTTGTTGCTCTTTTTCTAACTCTTTGAGTTGTAGAGTTAGATAAATTGTTACAATTTTTTCTTGTTTTTTGCAATAGGCTTGTAGGGATATGAACTTCCCTCTCAAAACTGCTTTTGCTGTGTCCCATAGATTTTGGATTGTTATGTTTTCATTGTCATTTGTTGCCAGGATGCTTTTAATTTCTTCCTTGATTTCTCTGGTGACCCAGTCCTTGTTTAATAGTGTGCTGTTTAATCTCCATGTGTTTGATTTCTTTGGATTATTTTTATTGTAGTTAATTTCCAGTTTTATGCCACTATGATCAGAGAAGATGCTTGATATGATTTCTATCTTCTTGAATTTGAAGAGACTTTGCCTATGTCCCAACATGTGTTCTATCTTTGAAAATGTCCCATGTGCACTTGAGAAGAATGTATATTCTGTGGCTTTGGGGTGGAATGTTCTGAAGATGTTGATTAATTCCATCTGATCTAGTGAGTCATTTAGGATTAATATTTCTTTGTTTAGATGATTTGTCCAAAGGTGACAGTGGGGTATTAAAATCTCCTACTATGGTTGTATTGCTATTAATCTCTCCCTTAATGTCCTCCAGCAGTTTTTTTTTTTTTAATGTATCTGTGTGCTCCTGTATTGGGTGCATATATGTTTACCAGTGTTATTTATTCTTGTTGGATTGCTCCCTCGAATCATG